GGTAAATTGACTGACATATGCATGTACCCGCTTCCATTTGCTCGACGGCAACTTCATCTTCTTCGCCTTGACTGCAATGCAACTTCATTAGAGGCTGGCAATAGAAAAGCACAAAAAGAGAAAAACTTGTCGCCCATTGCCGTGGAAAGAGTTAGTGGGGCGTTCAGGCCGACTGTTTGCAATGCATTGTCTGCTGTCTAGTTGCCAGCCGTGGTGCTGCCACAGCCAGCTCGATGGCGTTGGCACCCCTGCTCCATGCCCATGACACCTCGGCGGCGGCTGCAGCTGCTCCCGTTGCACCTACTCCGCATGCGGCGCATTGCATTTTGGGGGCCATTGGCAATGTTAATGGTGTGCATTATTTTGATGTTTATTTATGTTGCTAGCAGCACACATCTAAGCACACTCACACACACACACACGGTTCGGCAACATGTGGCCAATGCAATTTGCATTTGCATCTCAATTGCTTTTTGCATTGTTTGTTTTGCAGTTGTCGTTGCGTTGCTGTTGTTGTTGTCATTGTTGGTGTTTGTGTTTGTGTTGCTGTTGCTGTTGCTGTGGCTGTTGATTATCTCTCTCCACACACAGCTGCGTTTGCGATGCGGATCCGGTTTTCGTTGACCCACTTCCGGTAGGCAGTTGCGGGCTGCCAGTTGCCGGTTGCCAGTTGGCAGTTGCGTTCTGCTTGACCTTTGTCTCGCCCTCGCCTTGGCTTACACACACTGCCAACCGCTGGTTGCCCACCCACAGCAGCCGCAACCGCAGCCACAGCCGCAGCCGGGCTCCATCATGATCTGCACCTCCGCACGGCCACCGACTCAGCCAGATAAGACGCCTACGCTTTGCACTACATTCATATTTCGTTGTCGTTGCTGTCTGTCGGTTGCCATTTCTTCAGCTCTTGCCTGTAGATCGTTCTTTTTCTGTAGCATTTTGTTTATTATTTCTCTCTCTATCGCAGCTCTATCTAACCCTATTCCTATTCCTATATCTATCCCTATTCCTCGCTCGCGCTCAGCTCCTACATGGCAATTTATTTAGCATTTTTATTGTTCTGCGTTTTGTTGTTCTGCTTTTTTTTTATGCCTGCCATCCATTTTTATCGTCTGTCGTTGTTTGCTGTTGTTGTTCGCGTGTTATTAGCCATGATAACTCCCCCTCCCCCCACCTGCCCACACTAGCCCACGACTTGCACTTCTTTTGTCTTCAGGCTTCACGCCCGCACCTTGGCACAGCATACAACAAATTATGCATGCAAAAATTACCTTCTTCTTGTTGCTGTTGTTGTTGCTCGACCACTCCTCTTGTGGTTGTTGCTGTTGTTGTGCATGTTAGATTATGAGAAATTTATGCAATATTTGACATATATTTGGCGGCGTCAGCGCAAAGCCATTTCAGTAATGCTCTAAATATGATTGTTTATATATCTTGAAATTTCTTGCCTTTTACAAATTATTTATGGTTTACGCCAAACGAAAATTTCCATAAATCAGTGCAAATTTTCGTATGTATGGAGAAGCCTCTGGCTACAATATATATATACTATATATAATATATTACTAAAGCCCAAACATGTATTGAATTATTTTCTTTAGTTAACGGAATATTTAATGTATTAAATGTTTCAATTAGGTATATCAATTTAAAGCTAAGTAATAAATATTTGCAATATAATATTTAAATACTATTATTATTATAAATATACTAATATGTCATAATCGAGTATCTAAATATTATTACAAATATTTTATGACATAATCTATGGACAGATTCGTTCTACAGACTCCCAGCTTACATTCGATTCGAACGTTCTCCGATAGAAATGTTTGAATTGTAACATATCCAGGTACGCAACGAATTAGCCATGACTATGATTTAGTCATTCTCTGCTGTTTCGAATGAGATAAAGTGATGCAAAAGAGAAAAGTGAGTCTGTTCTGGCAGGAGATGCAGCCAACCCGCTGTGAATTTTGCCACCGTCGCTTGCTTTTGTTCCTATTTAGGGCCAGTTGCAATTTGACTGTGAGTTGTTTTGCCAATTTGGCAACGAAGATGAGCAAACAGACAAATGCGAGGCAAACAATTCAATTGATGCCAGAACTCGGGCAGAACAGGTAGCATAGGTAGAGCCTGGACCCACCCAAGGTGAATTTGCAACAGGCCAGAGCTCGGCTTCGGCAATTGTCACATTTGCAGTTGGTGGCGGCAAATAGAAAGGCAGCTTCAGTTGGGCAGAGAGCCTGACAAAGTGTTGACTTCTGCGCACTGTTTGCACCTTAATTTACAATCTTTTGCGGTCAACAGTTGCCGCCTGCCGCTCGCCGCTCGTCGCTTGCCGTCCGCCGCCTGTGGTGTCAAAAGATTTTCTCGAATTGCTATTGTCGATCTGCATTGGGCTTCAATTTAAAGCTTTGACTAACCCATATCCATTATGCACACACACACACACACACAAACACACACACATCAAGAGATGGGCGCGCGTGTGTCTTTAACCCATTTAGATTCGGAAGTTGGGCCTATCAAATGCACAATTCTTGTTCGCTTTTGACTTTGACCCCCGTGTCAATATTGGTTATGCTTAATGGCAATGCACTCGAACTTTACCGTTGGACCCTGTTCCAGGTGCTACTCCCGTGGCGTTTGCCTTAATTTGATAGCTTGTTTTATTTGTGTGGAGCAAATAGCTTGAGTGATGGCCCTGACGCAGGGCTCGACCTGGTCCAAGCACTCTCCTACATTGTTCGCTTTTTGGCTGCCTTCTCAGCTTTTTTCTTCTCCCTTTTCTCTCTTTATTTTTTGATGAAGTGTCACGCTGTCCAAGTTCAATTAGTTTTGTATGCCGCTCTTCAAAAGCTACGCCGATGTACGCTCTGTGCCCTGCCATGTTTAATGCCAAGATTGATTTTATGTTGTTGTTGCTGTTGGTGTTGGTGTTGTAATTGCTGTTGTTGTTGCTGTGCTGTTTGTAGTGCCTGCGAGATTGACATTTGACGTGCATAGAATTTGTCTAACTGTATTTCGCCTTTCGTGTGCTGTGTGACGTTCATTACAAGCCGTACCCAAGAGCTTGTCTCACCGTTTTGCCGCTCAATTTCACGAGCCTTTCGTATGGCTGACCCATACTGGCCGTAAATAATAATATTTCTGCCTCTATAGACACGAAATAAATAAAGTCGATAGGGATATATACATATATAACACAATTTTCATAATAAAAATTATTTTTAAATTTTTTATTGATTTTTAAATATTAAATTATTTAATTTGCCTAAAATATGTTAATAATGCTCCGGTTTATAGAAGAGATGCCCATAATTACAATTGAATATCAAAATTGTATGTCATTCGAAAAAAAATATTATTAAACAAAAGACTTAGGCAACAAACTTGCCCTGGAAGGCACCAATTTAAAATAGTTTGCGTGTGACAAATCTTAGAGAGATGTTTCATCCAACTTTTGCGAAAAGTGTTACAGCTGAGTCACGGCAGCCAATAAAAATAAATAAATAAACGAAAATAAAAACAAGAGTAAAATATCTTGATAAATTTATATATCATCGCATAAAATATTTATGCAAATAAAAAATTGCAAGTGGAATTCATGGAAAAAAACTAAAAGCAAATAAACCCAAGTGTGTATGGGTGGGTCTCTGTATGTGTGTGTGTTTGTGCCTGTGAAGCTGAAGAGCAAATCATGAGCCATGAACATGACCAACAATGCGGAGGCTGTGAAGCTGCTGTGCGAATCGAGGGGAGACCAGCCGAAAGGCTAGTGACGCAGTTGCACTTGGTCAAAAGGCCAATGCGATGATGAGGCGGTTGCTGTTTGGTCTTATGCTAATGCCAACAATAACATCAGCAACATCAGCAGCAACAACAACAATAACAACCAAAATAGGAGTCGTGAGTAAAACAACAAAAATGTACACAACCTGTAAGTTTGGTGTTGTGGTCTGCGGTCTTCGTATTTCGTATCAGTATCTGTATCTGTATCTCCATCTGTATCTGTCCCTGTCGCTGTGTGAGCTTTCATTTTCGAAGCGATACCGTTAACTGCAAAGCGCTGGAAATAAACAGAAAGATCTAAAGAGGTAGCAAAGCAAAAACAAAAAACAAAACGAATGAACGAACGAACGAGCACAGCAACCAGCCAAGAGCAACGGCTAAAGCAACAACAAGTGCGAATTGAGCTGACAAAGAGGAAATGCAACAACAAAATGGCAAATGCAGCGACGTCGACAGCAGCAGCGACGTCAGCAGCGACGGCAATATCGACGCCGGCAACTGTAATTGTTGCTCGCATGTTTACAAGGCGAAATAACAGGAAAAAATGTTAAATTTTTGTTAAGTAGGTCAAGTTGTGCTGCGCCAGAGCAAGATAGAAGCGCACAGTGGAAAAGAGATAGCGCTAGCGCATAATACAGAGAGCAAAAGAGTAATAGAGCGAGCATCAAACAAGTATGGCCGCAGAGTTAGAACTTGCCAAACTTTTCACTTGAGCAAATGTCAAAGGAAATTCAATTTAAAAACAATTTTAATTTTGTAAAATTTTATTATTTTTAATATTTGCGATATTCAATAAAATTTTCAATCATTTAGCAGTTGGCCGCTCAAAGTTGACCCGCCTTGTCTGCAGCGCGCAACATAAACAAACTTAGCCCTGACTTTGACCGCCAGAGCAGAAGGCAACAGCGACCTCGGCACAAGCAACACCTGCGGCCAAACATGTTGGCAGCACAACATGTTGCAGCTGCCTCGCTCTCTGGCTGGCTGGCTGGCTGGCTGTTGGCTTCCTCGCTAGCTCATGCTGCTCACTCGGCTGCTCTCAGGTTGGCGTGCGCTCAGCAGCCAGGTGAGTAACTTCTTTTGATCGCTGCTGCCGTTGCAGCCGACTGCGCTGTTGGCTGCGCTGCTGGCAGCGACTTCTTGGGCCGCTGCGGCTCGAAAATTTCTTTTCGTGTTGCGCCTGCGCACAGTTGGCTTTCTACCGTTGACGTCTTCGGATTTGTGCGATTCTTGGCGCGCAGCAGTTTTTAGCGTTGGTTTCGCGTGTGGCTTCCGATTCGGTTGTGGACGTGGACTCTCTCAGATAGACACTCACACACACACACACACATGCAAATACGTATACGTATATGTACAGATACACGCGCGCAGCATAATAAAAAGAGCAAGCAATAGAAATTGGAACAACCAATAAAAAAAAGTGACCAGTTCAATTAAAAAGAGTGTGCTACAACAACAACAGCAACAACAACAACAACAGCAACAACAATAACAACAGTGATAAACATGTTAAAAATGCGTTACAAAAATTGTGAAAATGGTTGAGAAAATATTGAGAGCAAAGCCAGAACTTGCTCCAGAAAGTGTTTAAATATCGAATTTATTCTATATACCAATATATACATATATAGAGAAGATATACACACAACCACAAAGCATATTTGAAGAAGTGCAAGTGCAATCGGCCCGTGGTGCAATACAATTATTGAAAACAAGCAAAGGAAATACGCAAAAAAGTTAAAATTCAAACCAACAAATATAACAAAGATATATTACTATATTCATAATCGATCCAATCCAATCAATTTATACTCCACCCGTTCAATCAAACAATCAAGACGAACTCTCTCGAAAACGCTGTTGTATATATTTCCAGAAAATACAATACAATAATATATACCTATATATACATATAACCTATATATCGTCATCTCAGAATCTTTCCCAAAATACAATCAGTCAAAAGTCGTCCATTGTACATACATATATACGAAAAGCAATAAATCAATATAAATATCTATATACAAATCCCACATCAAGGGCTCTGTGTGCTATCTAAGGAATATGAAATAAACACAAAATATATAAATACTATATACCCACTCGTACTACTCCCCGTTCATTATCTTATGCATATATATATTTATGTCTTCCTCCCATTGTTTTTGTGAGTATACAAAAATGTTTAAGCTTTTCATTTCAATTTTATTTTTGTTGTCCATAACATTATTTGCCTTTGACTCTTAATCGTTAATCCTAAACCCTTAACCCTTAACGAGCATGCTTTAAAATACTAATAATTACATATTTATTAATTGCTAATTTGATTGGTCGAAGGATCTTAATCTAACTGTCCTCGAGTAAATCAAGCTCATATTCATGACATCTCTATACGAAACATATCAACTCTCATTCACATCAAATCGGATACAAATACTACACATATGCAAACATATTAATGAAACTGTCTTAAAGGATTTCAATATCGCGCGTTAAAGGATTACAAATTAACTTATGAACAAGGATTATACAAATATATACATATAACAAATAAAACTTAAGGAAACAACAACAAAAACCAACCAATAACAACAACAAAACCACAATTTCTGAACTATAGTTCAAAATGTGCAACAGCTGAATTCGGCAATTTCGTAAATGTAAGTAAGATTCAAATATGGCAAAATGTTCTAGGAGCCGCCAGACCTAAGTCAACGGCCTTCCAATACGAGCATTCCCAAGCCTGGTTTATAAACAAATCAGCGAAAAGTCATTGACCGAATTCGTTTCCGATATTACTCACCTGTTATGAAATACAACGCAATACATAGGACTGTTTTGTTAGGGGGATGAGATAATGTCAATACAACTGAGAGCTGAGAGTTAAGAACTGAGAGCTGAGAACTGAGAGCTAAGAACTGACAGCTGAGCTTTACTTATGAGACAATTGCGAATTTCACAACTAGGCGCGTGTCTATAACGTAATCAAATAAAGTTACTGTGAATTTACAGTTACAGTAGCAACACGATACATATATATGGAGAATAATTCAAATATGAACAATATAAATTTGAAATTCATTTCGTTTATTTTATCTTATGAAGCACTGGTCTAAACATAGATAATCGCACCGTTTGACCCCGACCCAAAAGCTAAGACCCAAATAAGAAAACTCTTAACTGCACTCGGAAGTAAAGGTTATTTTAATTTTACAGCTAAGATTGTTGCCAAGCGCTTTTGCCGAGCTAAAAATAAATCATAAAAAACCGTTTGTTTGTCTACCAAAATGGTCTAAAATACAACAGCAACAACAACAAGAACAACTACGGCAATGGCAGCCAAAAAAAAAAGCCAACACACACACACACACAGGTATAAATATGAACACACGTACACCTCAGCAACAACAGTAGCGGCTGTTTGTACCGTTATATGACGCAAAATTACGCTTACTCATTCAGCGAGGCGGCGGCTCCAGAAGCAGAGAGGAGAGCCCAAAAGCCGGAGTCACAGCCGTCAAAGTCAAGCTGGGAGCGCATCACCAAATAGGCACAGCTGCTACAACAACAACAACAACACAGCACAGCATGCCGAAGCTTAAATACTCTGCAATGAGAAGCTACAGTTGATAAATGAGTTAAATGATAAAGAAGACGGTGTCAGTTAGCAGCATTTCGGATTGAATATAAATATTACCAAGAGAGATTTTCAGTAAAGCTAAAGAAAGATAATTTCTATATTTTGCTTCTCTATAGCTCATCAGCTCAAATACGAAAATACTGAATCACAGCTAAATTATAGGTGGATTAGTTGAGAGTTAAGACTGGGAATAATTAAAGTACTCATTAGAAATATAAAATATATAAATTATAGATTTCTTTGTCCATGTCTGGGGCAAACGCACTGCCAAAATAGAAATGCCCTCTAGAAGGGTATACTCTATAGCTTTATAAGCGCTGCAGCGTCAATGAGCGTAGCGAATCCGACTGCGCATTAAGTTGCATTTCGGTGAAGGAGGAGGGACTTAAGATTTTTCAGCTTTTCTTTCGGCTTTTCATCTCTCTAATTGAACTTTTTTGTGTATTTTCGAACAAATCAATTAAGCGCGCTTCGATGTGAACTGCGACGGCTATGCGGCTTGAACATATCAATTACCAAAGCAGAAGAAACTAAGTCCAAATTCAATAATTGCTTTCCTAGATTTATCCACGGCTACTGCTCAATTTTATTAATTACTTTTTCTTTTCAATTTTTTTGTGCGTTTCAATTTTGATGTGAATCAAACTTAATTCTTTTCGTATCATTCTGTTATTTAGGTCGATAATCGCATAACTGTCACATGGCTGTTGCCATTACCAAATATTTATATTCATTTATTATGCAATACGATTTAGCTGTTAATTATCTGTGGAATATTCTTACTAATAATCCCGTTGGGAGCTTAGAATATGCTTTTATGTTCAATTTGCACATTTTGCTAGTCCAAAATCAAAATACTACGCAAATATGTTTATGTATTTGTATATAAAACAACAACAACAACAACAAAAACAACAGCAACAACTACCACAACAACAATATCAATAAACAAAAATTTTTAGACGCGCGCTTTTAAAAAGTTCGCTGACCCGAGCAATGTTTTGGGTTTTTGGGGATTCAGCTGGCCAGACACGCCGGATTGTTGTCTTCATTGTTGTTGCCGGTTCAGATGACCACATTAAGCTTTAAAATATTGTCTCTCAGCATGCAGATGAGCTGCCAAATACCCTGTAGTCAATTGAGACTATTAAATATATGAGCGAGAGAGGAAAAAAATATATATATAAATTTTATGAAAAAAAAAATCTAATTTAAACTTTAATTTACATATATATTTTATTTAAATGTTAAATTTGAATTTATATAAAACATAACATATTACTTATTTTCATATATTCATATAATCCATGTAAGATACAAAACTTAATGTATTAATTATTTTCATAATTAATATACCAATATACCCTAAACAACAATCACACAAACTACAGGGTATTCCAAGTTTCGGCACGCAACCAGCGCATGAGGCACGAGGGCGTCATTTAAATAACAACAAAGTAAAAACCAACTAAAAATAGTTAAACATCATAAAAATTTGCATAGTTGTTGTTAGTTGTCGGTTGTCGGTTGGCTGGGTTGTTGTTCGGTTGTTCGGTTGTTTGGCTGTTTCACTGTTGGTTTGCTCGGCTGGTTAGTGGGACCAGCTAAGCTTAGCTAAGCAGAGACACAGGGTGTGGTGATGCCAGCAAGTCTTGAGCAGACCTCTTCCACAGCCTCGGCCATAAAAATAGCGCCAAGCCTCTTCAGCTCAGCGAGCTGACCGCGCTGCCATTTGAGTTTATCGCCGCGCTGTTATCTCATTGCAAAGGGACACCTAACGGAGTTAGCACTGTACAGGCACTGTGCGAGCATTTAATACTGCCTCCATTCATAAAATAACTCAACTACGATTAATTCAAGCCCGTACAGTGGGTTACATTTTGTTAAGTTCTTTGTAGTTCGCATAGATATATAATACATCAATATAAAATTGAGCTATCAAAATATCATATTTCATATAGAAACTGAAACTGCATAGAAATCTATAGATATGAGCAGATAAATATACTTAGACATAAATAAAGAGAAGTGTGAATATATATTCATAATGATATATGAGAGATAGTAGGTGGTTTGGATTAGATTGATATTGATTTACCAAAAGATATATGTGATATATATGTGGAATGGAGAGATATTCACCGATATATATGGATCTCTGGATAGGCTTTGATAGTGTTTAATTAATATTAATTATTTTTTGTAATTTGATCTTTCTAATATCTTTCTCCACTTTTAAGTCGGCTCATAATTTATTTGAGGGCCTAGGTTTGGCTTCAAATTGTCTTCGCCATTTCGGACTTTGCTCCACTTCCAGCGCGACAAATTTTAAACGTGTTTTTGCTTGTGTTTAGCATATACGAAAAACATTTTGGTTTTACATTTCTACTTTTTCTACTCTGCTTGGCTAGTTTTAGATCTACGTCCCTGTGCTCGAATCAATGACCAGCTCCTTTGGCCAGCAACTGATCCACTTAATATCAAACTCAATTTACACCTGGAGCATTATTCATATGCCGTCACTCCGCCTTTTCCCCGCCACACGCCCTCTTTATACTTTTTATGAGCCTAATTCCATTGGCAACGCCCACCACTGAACGACTACGAGGTGACGTGGTCCAGTTTAAGTCAGAGCCCACACCTTCTGGCCAAGTCTGGGCCAGCGGCAGTTACCAATGCAGTTGGAGTTGCTRGCAAAAACAACAACAACTCCACACGTGCCACATGTGCTGTCAAGTGCGCAGCAGAATAAGCAGCGAGCACGTCTTCGTCTCCCATTGTTGCGAGTTGCCAGTTGCCAGTTCTTGGTATTTTGTTGCTGTTGCTGTTGCTGCTGCTTGCTCGCAACAATTTGCTGCATCCACATTTACAGCTTAAGATAAAGTCGGCGATGGAGTGGAAGCTGGAGCTGGAGCCGACGCCAGAGCTGAGGCTGAGGCGGAGGAGGAGGCTGAGCCAACCTTCAATGAGTGATGGCGACCTCAATGCCAGCCCCACGTTTTCAGAGGCTGTGGCTGCTTTTTTTTCGGCTTCTCGGTCTTGGTCAAAGTTGGTTTGCTTGGAAAACCGCTTGGCAGCCTTGCAGAGCGGTTGTTGCTGTTGTTGTTGTTAGTGGCATTGTACGTGCGGTTTTCCAAGTGGAAATCGTTGCGGTTGTAAATTTTGCAATCAAATAATTTTTCATTCGCTTTTTCCGACGCCAGCGCGCGACCTGATTTTTCTTTTCATTTTGGCCGCAGCAGCAGCAGCCGCCGTCGCWGCCACAGAGATGCATAAAAAAAGTGTTTGCCTGTTTCGGGTCTCCTCTCTTGGCCATTTGGTGTTTTAGCTGGCTGGAAAAACGTTTTGACCTTTGCCGCTTTGTTCGTGTTCGAACATTTAAACGGAAGTTGATTGCCGCCAAAGGTTAAACTCAATTTCCGTTAAAGCCTCAGCCTCCGCCTCAGTCCCAGCTCCAGCTCCAGTCTACGAGGCAGCCTCAGTTTGGGCCACGTCTTTCGACCGTATTTTAAAACCGAGCTAAGAACTCAATTTCTTAACAATTGGCAGCAGCTGTTCGAGGGGTTCTCGCTGACGGCTTGTTGCGCTTATTGTGGTTGCTCCAGCTTTAAGTAGTTGTTCGAGATGAAAAGTTCAATTCACAAAGTTCACGAGAATTAAGAGAAAGAAATTTATGCCGCTGTCCTCTTAAGCTTTTGTTGCAAATTATGTTTGTATGCATGAAACACATACCACAATATTGACATATATCAATATATATATGATGTCAATTCAATCACAGCTCATTTATAATTACTTAACGGCTTTTCAAGTGCGCCCACCAGCTGACCGAGTTATTCGAAATAAAGAGCTTTCAGCTCAGGGTCATAAAATCACTCGCATGTCAAAAATTTGCACTAATTCATTCAAAATAACCGTTAATATCGCCCTACTCATGCACACATACACACACACACACGCACACACTAACAGTAACAGTAATTATAATGCCCACAGCAATCGTCCGAGCCCCAAATGTTTAACTCTCTGGCCATAATCTGAAAATCCCATTTACAAGCTCAAATTACAATAGAGGCGCATTGTTGGCTTTTGTTGTTGTTGTGGTTGTTGTTGCTGTTGTCGTAGTGTGGCGCACCCACGCAATTTATGTCTATGTGTATGTGCGTGTGCGTCTGTGTAGGTGTAGGTGCTGGGGCCATTCAAATGCAAAAAGAGCAGCGAACAACCGTTACAATGTGCCTCATTAAAACAAAAAATGAAAATAAAATAAACGAAAATGTTGAGTAGCCACAGCAACAACAATAAAACATTAGCAATAAAAAATAAAATAGAAAATAGAAAAAATGTGTAAAAAGTGACGCCCAGCTGAACAATAAAGAATCAGAATATCTGTAAAATATTTCACGCCAATCTCCTAGGCGCATCGCAAACGTCACTCAAATAAAATCAGGAACCTGACACATTATGAAAAATTCATTAAATCGAAATTGTTAGACATCGCATAGAAGAGTGAATAACCCATGGGCAGAAGTACACAATATACCTACATATATACAATAAAATTTGAAAAATGTGAGTTCAAGATATATACTATAAATGAATGTATATACAGATGTACAAATACATATATAGATAGACGTAGATATAAGTATATAAATATAGATATAGATATATGTAGATACAAACAGAAATATTGATAAATAAAAAGATATGGGTATCTAAATAGATCCGTGGATATCTACATAGAATGAGTTAAGAATAGGGAGAACAACATATAAATAGATACTTTAGTAAAGGTCATATAGATATCATATGGTATTAATAAATAGTTAGGTATAAAGCGCGCTATGAAAAATGAAAATGAGATATTGGAGGTGTATATGGTAAGAAATTGATATATAAATATATACTGTGTAGAGTGTAGAGGTATGTATCTATGTATATCTATATATTGACATATATATATATAGATAGAGCCCAATTGTCAACTGTATAGAAATTTATAAAGAAAATTTATAGAGATAAATAAATATTCTATAAGGACGGATGAATAGGCAGAGAATATATATAATTAATATATATGATATGTGTAGATTTCATTACGAATATATTAAATATGTATGAAGCTGGGTAACAAATTCTATTATTACTTATTCATAAATAAGAAATTAATTACTTTATAAAAATATAAAAATGCTCAAATTTGAAATAGGCAGCAGAATTGCTAAAAATGCACGATTTACTAATAATAATATTTGTAGTTATTGACTTAATTAATTTGGTTTAGTCTATAGCAGTAGCTCGTATAATTTTGTTTTCTTTAATTTATTCCCAAATCAAGTTGGTTCTAGCTAATATTATTATATGTAGCTCAACATCATTAAACTTCTGACATTATTTGGATTTTACCTATACTATTTGCATAACAATCGATTCGTTTATTTTCTGCCTGTCAGGTGGAATTAATCCAATTTCAATTCAAACCTAGATATTGGCAGCCATTTTTCTTAGTTTTTTCTTCGTGTTTTTATTATTTTTTTCATTCTTCTTTTATTTGGTGTAAGTGCACGCAAAGTTGCGCTTGAGCTTGAGCTTTGGTCGGAGCTTCGTGGCAGCTTCGTCTCGGCTCTGCCGAACACGGAAGTATGTCAGCAGGTCTCTCGTGTAACGGTAGTTTGGCTGCTGCTGTTGCTGTTGCTGCCGCTGCCTCAGTCGCTGGTACGCTTAGCTGCGCATGCTTAGCTGACGCTAACGTCGCTGCCGCTGCCAGAGCCACAGCCACAGCCACTGCCGCTGGCGCAGTCGCCGCTGTTGCCACTTCTGCTGCTCTTTGTTGTTTGTTGGCGCTTGGCAGTCGGAGCTAGCAACATGTTGCTTCGACAACCTGTTGAAAGCGAAATTGTCTCTCGCTCTCTCTCTCTCTCTTTCGCTCTTTCTCTCTCTCCTTCTGGCGCTGACCAATACCAAACGAGTCTAGCTGTGAGCGAGTGAGTATATTGGCCAATTTGGCTCTATATGCTTTCTTCTTTCACACACACACTCACACACACACTCACACACACGCACACACGGAGCCATACATGAATGTGGCCAAGCCTCAAAAACTTAACTTAACTGTTTATGCACAAAATGAGAAAGAGTCTTTTATTTTTGTTGGCTCATTTGCTTTACCGTTCGTTCGGTTCTCCCAAAACTGAACTTCTTCACTCGCACCTCGCAATTGTWGTTGTTGTTGCTGTTGTTGTTAGAGTCTCGCAGTATTTCGGATTTTTTTTTTATTCGATTGGCTCTTTGTATTGGTCTTGAATATTTTGTTGTGGCTGCTTTTTACTTTTTTGGAAATGGAGAGGGTGAGAGTAAAGGGGGAGGGTAGAGGAGGTAGACGCGTACTCTGCACCTGTGTCGCACGATAGTTGCTGTTGTTGTTGTTGTTGTTGCTGTACTTTCATTGTCGGTTCCTCATATCTTTGTCTGACTGTAGAGTCTATCCAAATACGATATGCCCGGCCTCTCGCTACACCCGCTCTCCCCCCTCGCCCATTAGCAGAGCTCAATATTCTGCTGCGTTTATTTCTACCAATTTATATGCTAATTTAACTGATTATTAATGTTGTGACCCAAATTCCATTTGGAAATTATTATTGGCCATTCGGGTATCGATTTGTTCTTGTTGTTGTATCCCCCACTCTTCTCTATTTTTGGCCTGTCCGTCCGCTTCGTTATCTTGTCTCAACTCTAACTGCATTGGCATTTGGCGGCGTCTTCCCATGAGTAATCGTCGCGTTAAATATGAAAAGCCCCGTGGAAATGTTTTGATATGCAGCCCAGTCGGACCCAAATGGACATCGATTCATTTTCGTTACGTTTAGAATACCTATCGAGACTTGTATTAAGCTCAGATTAGGGCTTGTTTGTCTGCCTTGGCGCTGCAAGCTGTCAGCAAGTGCCGCAGCTGCCGCTGCATGAGGCACCTGCAGATCCCAAAGATTCTGTAAGACGGATTATAACATAACGGAAGTTGCTTGTAAGCTGAGCTTAGTTGAAGCCCGCTTAATGTGCATTTGGCCGCCACATTGATGAATATGCAAGAGCTAACTGAAAAATGTTTGGGAAAACAGTTACTCAACATATATTTCATTTATGAACCTTAACGATGTAAACATGAATTTTTTATTAAGATCAGCTGAGAGCAGCTGAATCTTAGACTTTGTAAACCAATCATGCTTGACTCTTAGAGCTTGGCTTATATGTAGGTAGTATTCTGCATTTGGGAATAATATTTTATTATAGTAATTAATTATCATTGAATTAATTTATTTAATTTGTTCAAACTTATAATGTTAGCATATATTAATCTAAACTAAATACAGTAATATCTGCACAGTAAAGAACAGGTTCTGTGCTGCACAAAGGAATTGATTATTTAGCATATTCATCTATATTCCATCGAGATTTAATCGCACCTACTAACTCGGATCTTTGTCATCTTCTTGCATATACTTACAGCATCAACTGAACGAATATTCAATATTTTGCGCAAGAAGAAAAACCAAAAATTTCTGTCCATCGCCTGGGTCAACTGACAATGAAGTTGTGCAGCATGAACGGGCCAAGTGAATCAGAAGTCGAAAGCCTACTGATGAGCCCCTGCTGGGGACCCACACAGACAAGCAGCCAGGATCAGTATCTGCTGGACGGACACAAGCTGCTGCTGGAGCACGAGCTCGACTCGCTGCCGAGCGATGCGGATCAGAAGAACTCACTGGATGTGCTGGATAATCTGCTGTTGAATAGCTCCTCGCTGAATGCCCTGTCCGACCTGAAGCCGCTGCCTCCGTTCACTGGCTACACCGGGCATCTGTCCATCAATGGCATCTCGGGGCATCACTACCACGCGATTGCCCAGCGGCTGCCCGACGAGAGCAATAACAACTACATACAGAGCGCCTACCAGCAACACCATCAGCATCAGCATCAACAGCAGCAACAGCACCAACACCAGCACCAACAGTCGAACAACAACAACAACAATCCGAATGCGAATCCCACGTCCACAACGGCAGCGACGACGACGTGCAGTGGGACAGGCGGGGTGGGCGGTGGCGGCGGGGGCGGCAGCGGAGGCTCCTCGCAGGAGCACAATATCGTATCCTCATCCACCTGCCTGCCCGAGAGCGTGCTCAGCGCGGATGCGGACGCCTGCCTCAACGATGTCAAGCTCTTTGCCGATAGTCAGTTAGATTCTAAGCTCTACTCCGTAGCGGACAGCTGTGTTATAAACGCCTCCAATCCGGGCGGCAATGGTGGAGGCGGAGGTGTCTCCTCGCTGGCCAGCAGCGGGTCGACGCTGACACCGATCGACCAGGTGGCCGACTCGCTGCACGGCAGCGGAGTGCGCATCTACAAGGATCTGACCGAGTACGTGGACATGAATAGCATCGATGACATCGCCGCGATCATTGGCTCGGCGATAGCGGACACCACGGTGCCCAATCAGCTGGACAAGGAGGAGGGCAACGACACGCGCGACAGCTGGATGGATCTGGATGCCTGGATCGATGGCAACTGCATTCAGCCCGAGGGCAAGGTGCTCGTCTCCCAGCAGGACACGCTCAGCGACTTCATGCTGCCCCACTCACCGCTGCCGGTGCACGCGAGCAGCTCCACGCTGCAGAGTCTACTCAGCCATGGCTACATGCCGCTGCTGCAGAATCGCCTGCAGCACGGACCACCTGGGGCGGGCAATGCGCCCGGCGGCTCCTCGGCGGCAGCGAATGCCCTGAAGAGCGAGACGCCCAGTTCTACCTCATACTGCAACGAGCTGTCGGCAGCCAGCAGCAGCTGCAGTCCGCCGGGCTCGGTGGTCAGCACCACGGACAACAATCTGATGATCAATCCGCGCTATCTGACCAACAATCCCAATCCCAACCAGCAACAGCAGCAGCAGCAGCAACAGCAGCAGACAGCCTACCAGCTGACGCCCAATGGCCTCTCCGGCAGTGGGCTGAAGGACGGCGGACTCTGCAGTCCGGACATGCTGAGCAATTATCCGCATACGACGAGCACCACAAATGCGCCCACGGGCACGCCCAAGGCTAAGCGGTCCAGGGCACAGAAGAAGTCCAGCCAGCAGCAGCAACAGCAGCAGATCCAGGGCGACAACGGGGCGTCACAGCTGAACGCCATGTCGCCGTCGGGCGTGGCCAGCTTCAATGCCAGCGATCTGAGCGGGCTGCTGGGCAAGGAGAAGCCGGTGCATCGCTGCAGCATCTGCAATCGCGGCTTCCTGAACAAGTCAAACATCAAGGTGCACCTGCGCACGCACACGGGCGAGAAGCCCTTCCGCTGCGACGTGTGCGCCAAGGCCTTTCGCCAGAAGGCGCACTTGCTCAAACATCAACAGATACATAAGAGAATTGGGCGTGACTGACCGCGGCCACAATCACAACCCGCTCGCCACTAGCAACAGCCACTTCGATAGGCAGCAACTGTTTCTGCCCGCACAATTGAGCACTCAGTCGCTTCCGTGTGCTCTGCTCGAGAGAAAGTGCCCGCCAAAGCCACCCGCCCACCACACTCCACGCACCACTCCACGCACCGCACACCGCAATCTCGGGCCGAACTGGCAACTGGATGTGTGCATGGATGGGTCTTTGGGTGCGGCAGCTTCTCGTGTATCGCATTGCTTGACCAGAGCCACTGTGGATCGCCTCTCGGCGTTCCCAGACCGTTTGCCATCCTCCTGCTGCTGCCCCAATCACAGCTCACAGCAGCAGGGTGAAGCAATGCCATACACATAGCACTTGATATTCGTTGTTGTTGGTTGCTTTTGATCTCTTCGCCTCTTTTGGTAGTTAGTCCAATGAATCCGGTTATAGGTAGCATATGTAGTATACGGTCTAGCCAAAATATATCTAGATGAATTAAAGTTGCTTAACATTTTCCAATATGATTGAAAAGATTTAATGTCCATAAGGTTTCTACAGAAATTTAATTATATTCATATTTCACTTTTTTTATGGGGTTTAATATCAACCTACTACCTCTATAATGTTGTTGGCACACTCTGAAAAAATTATGGAAATTTTAGAAGCCTGATAAAAGCTGAAGAAATAAAGAAAAGGATTTTGAAAGTAATAATTAGACTTTATTTTTATGAAAATACTTAATACGAATCTGAAACAGAAAATTTATGAAATGTCATATTCACGAAAGGTGAATCTAATTACACGTGAATCACTTTTTTCGAGTAAGACTCTGCAGCTTTGGTATCTACAAGTACTGCAGTTAAGAGTGATACAGTTATAGCAAATACTTGATATATGTGAGCATTATGAAAAAACAGCATAAAAACCGTTCTTATAATGGATACAAAACGCAGCAGCTGAAGAAATTTTGTTACAGCAAATGGAAAATCATTTAACAGGCAATTTTTTGGAAGTCTATATTTTAGTTTATATAAAAAAAAATAAAGAAAATGCCCCAGGCAAAGAGACCACAAGCAATGTAAGAACAACGAAGCGTCCAATTGTCTTTTTGCAACTGTTGTTCTGTTTTGATGCAATCCTGCGCGCTTCGAGCACCTAAGGCCCTGGCACAGGTATACAATTATATAATAATAATAATGCCTAGAGTTACGAATGTAGCTAGAATTTAGTTAAACTCTAGCCGAATGTATGTTAAGTAATAGCATAAATAAGATGATTTGTGTGTACCTCAAGAAGAAGATAAAAAGAAAAACAATAGAAGCAATACAATTATAAATTACAATAATAATAATAAAACTAAGTAAATGTACAAATCAAACAAAAATAATTATATACAACCATATATTTATACATACATATATATATGTTTCATAAGTTGTAGCGGGCTTGGCAAAATAACAATATATGTTAATATAAAATATAAAAAATAAATAAAATAAAATACAAAAAAAAATGCAAAATGAAATAAAAACATAAAAAGCAAAAAGAAATGCAAATTAAAAATAATTATGAAATAGTAAAGTACTCAAGTAATAAATTTTATTACACCTACATTTAAATGTTGTTAATTTGTTTTTTAATCAATTTGTTGTTAAACGTTACAATTAAATGGAAAAATCAAAACATATGTCCAATAAATCATATTCTAAATATATTTATTCTGTTGTGCGCAAATCTTGAAAATATTTATGCCTGCAAAACTTTAGCACACATATGATTAATAAAATATTGTTGAAGCTATTTATTTAAGCAAACAAAAGAAGAGAGCATAAGAAAAGTTAATAAAAAAAAGAAACAAAATAAAATATAATTAAATACAAATAATTATTTATAACTTAATCCATATTTAATGTTATTTTAGTTTTGTGCAATTTATTTATTCAAGTTGAAATTCCGTTTGTACTTCTAAACACAATTCGATTGTAAATATTTATTTTGTCTAATGTTTAATGTTTATCTAACTAGAAATACAAAGTTTTGTCATTTTAAATGTGCAAAAATAATATAATATTTCAAAACAGAAAACGATTCGTTTATTCCACATCAAGTATACGCCGTATGGCACTGCATATGGGTAAGAGCACGCACACACACACTCATACGAATGCAGCTCAAGTTAGTCTCGTTCGAGTGGTTCTTCTTGGTCCGCATTGCTATGCCGCACGCATCACGGAGGAACCTGACACGCCAGCCAGCCAGAGTGTGCCAGCAGCAGAGTAGGTGCGAGCAGCTATGGTAAAATATGCAGTCGAAGACAACGACAAAAAGAGCAAAGAAAGAAACAAGAAAAAAAACGAAGCAAAGCAAAGCAAAGCAAACCAAACCAAACCAAGTCAATCCCAGTCGAGTCAGAATCATTATATTGACCACAAATGCCGCCGCCACGAAAGCAATGCAAAGAGTATAGAGCCAAAGGCAAAGCCCACACAGATACACACACACACTTACATACACACAGATAGAGATGGAGCGACAGAGCACGGCACCAATACAGCAACAAAATGCCATGCATACTGTGCCACTGACCCAATTTCCAGACTCGTTTTTTTCCATCGAGAGAACCGCACGAAGCATGAGCAGCGGCAGCGACTGTGGCAGCCACAACGGATTTGAAATGTTAACTGGGAGCGCGGCAATAAGATACAAAGATACTTTGCCCGGTCGCATGCTCTTTCACCGCAGAGACGCAGACCCAGACACAGACACAGACACATACACAGAAAGAGCTCAAGCTTCAGCTCCAGCTATACGAGTCTGGAGTTTGTTTGCATCGCATCGCATCGCATCCGCATTTCTATGCTGTCTTTGTATATTTGTCTTGGCTTGGCTTCGTTTGGGTTTGCTGCTGCTGCTGCATGTATCTGTAACTCGTTTCTGTATCTTGCGCCTCGTATCTGTGGCACTTAAATTTATGCAACATCATGGCAATGTCGCTGACTCCTCAGAGCCCCCTCTCTTGTCTAGAGTCCACGTTTTGTTCTAATCAAAATGTGCTACGTGCTCAGCTCGGCGCTCGTGTCAAAGGTCAACGCTTAAATATTAACAACTGGCCAACATCGAATCCAAATCCAAATCCGTATCCGAATTCAAATTCTGATTCGAAACCAATTTCAAACAAGAAATTAGCAATCGCATCTGCCGCAATTCGTTGAGCTGGGCAGCATCTTTCTCTCATCTGATCATTTCTCTTTATTTTTGGCGTTTTTAATTGAGTTTTTTGTATTCCCATTATATGTAATTTTCTACCCATTCGCTATGGCTTAGTGCCCATCTTAGTCGCGGGCCGAGCACGACCCACTTTCTGGCCAAGATTTCGACTGGCTATCCCACCAGCCAGCCAAGTCATTTGCGACATTTATGGCGATCAATGAGCGTGGGTGCCATTACTGAGTGATATGTTTATATATCTAAATAATTGGACAAACTGTGACTCAGATAATAATCGCCATAGGGAGCAGCTGAACAGCATGGCAGATCGTGTATAATGTTAATAAAAGAACTGTTAAATCATATAACTAGGAGGCGAATCTGTCACTCAGGGTTTGCAAGTACTCAGAAACCCTAAATGCTGAAATATTCTTCATCTTATGTCTCATTTTGCATATAACATGATCACAATTCTATGTTAAATGAATGTAATTAACATTGCTTGATCAATTGTAGTTAAGTACCGACTTTTACCTTTTACACAGCAAAAATAAATCTAATTAATATCTATTAAGATATTGAATGCATAATCATATTATTATATTATATTTCTAAGATCTGAAACAGCAACTTCAATAAATTATAAGAAATATACAAGACTAAGTAACTTGTCAGAGCTTATATTGTACACACGATGATTAGTGCAACAAATTTGTAATAGCAATTGTAAATACGTTTTAGAATACACGACATGGGAATACCCTCTAAAAAAGCTTCGCACAGTTTAGAAACACGTTTAAAAACAGAGACTAGATTTCACTTATTCTAAGAGAACCTCTAGATAAAGTTTTGATATATATGAGAAAGCTATATACTTCTAACAGTATAATGGAAGTTGAAAAATGTTAAATTCATGGAGAGATATATGTATGTATGTATGAGTGAACCTAAATGTCCAGTTCTTCCGCTGTCTATGTCCGCATTCATTCAAATATCATAGGGCCCTATGATATAAATATCTCAATCGGAAACATAGAAATCGTAGATAATTTCGTCAAAAAAGTCTATATAATAGGTTTCCTCAAATAATCTCAATGCGAAATTATCTGGTCTGGTCTGAAGACAAATGTGGTTAATCCTGATCTAGCTCATTTTAGACATATGAAGTTTTACAGGGTATCTGAAACAAAACCAAAGCCAGCCAACGCCTTTCGCCTGCTGCTGTTGTTTTTTGTTGTTGCTGCTGTCCCCAGTTGACAAAAAATAGAGACAGCGCGACAGTCGAACGACTGGTCAGAGAGACATTACAATAAAGTTAGCAAAATGGCAATGGCGACGCCTATGTCGCAGTCGCCGTCGCAGTCGCTGTCGCAGTTAACTTTGTCGCATATTGTCCAGCAGTTGTAACTGTTGCTGTTGTTATTGTTGTAGCTGTTGTAGCTGCTGCTGCTGCTGCTGCCGCTGCCGTGGCGCAGTTAAAGACACAATGACCTTGGGTGAAAGTTGCTCTCCATTTCTATTTTGTGCTTTGCTGTTGTTGCTGCTGAAATTGTTGTTGTTACTGTTGCTATTTACTAGTTGTTGGCATGCCATTTTCATATACACGTCTCTCGGTGCGCCTGTGTGCGTGTGTTGATATTTATTGTTATATTTATTCTTGTCACCGTTGTTTGTGTCTCTATCTCTATATGCGTGTATTTTTCCTTTGAATGCTTTTGCTGCTCCCCTTTGGCTTTGTCTTTTTACACTCAACATGATTTGTTTGTTTGTGTTGTTGTATTTTGATTTATCTCTGYTGTTGTTGCTGTTGCTGTTATTTTGATTACTTTTGCTCTTGATTGAGGTGGCTTTGATGGATGCACATGAAAAGTTCGACAACAAGCTGGCGCTGAAACAGAAACAGAAACACAAACACAAACACAGAAACAGAACGGAAGTGGCTCGCGTGCAGGAAATAGAAACGAGGCAGAAGGCAGAGGCGATGGCGAAGGCGAAGGCGACGGCGGAGTAGGTGAGAAAAGGCCAAAATAGAATTAAGCAATTGCTTACAGCGATCCAAGATTTTGGCCAATCACACACTACACACACACACACACACAGAAATATTTATAATTCATGCGCTCGGCTTTTGCATTGAATTGTCGAAGCATAAGAAAACCAAAAGAATTATAAACTTCAAGTTTGGCGTCGATTTTGCAATGCGCAGCGGCGTCTTCACGCCTCGTCGGCCAGCTGACCAAGATTCTAGGCAGAATAAATCATGGCTATAATTACGTTATATTATATTAATATTTAAGCACTGTGCCAGTTCTTGGCCTCTTGTTTTTGCTCCAACTTCAACGCCAAAATCGCCAACTCTAAACTTTAATTAACTGCAAAAGCAAACAGTGCACAACGAGAATCTTACGAAATGCCCAATTACACTGCATTTTTTGTACTATACCATATTATATTAATTATATTCGACTTAAATTAAGCTTAAATAAAATTCAATGTACATTTTCAAAACAATTATGAACTTAAAAAGATTCTATTTTTTCAGTAAGTGCGAATTGTTGATAAGTAAATAGATAAGTCTGACATCCATAGCTATCAAAGAAGTAAAACCTAAAACATTCCAGTTTATCTTTAGCAGATCCCAACTTAAAAGTCTTGTTAATCCACTCCGATTCTAACTAACCTAAGCATACTTTGTTAATTCGATTTAATTTTGTAAAATATTTAAATTTGGCTTACTAAAAACATAGTTCTGGAATATGCCAGCGTACAATATAAATAAATTTATCAAACTATAATCAATAGCATCAATTTTGATTTTTTTATTTAAGGACTATTTTATTAAATTGGAATTCAATTTATTTGAACTTTCCCATTTTAGTTTTTAGTACAGGCTCGCTTGAAGCTTAAGTAAATGATTCATTCCTATATGCTTTGCTTTTTAATTTGAAATTCATTTTTTACTTAAGTTCGTGTTGCATTTTAATGGCACACACACGCTGGCCTCAAAGCCAACTGAGAACGGTTAAAGCCGAAAAGTGCGACGCGACTGCAATTAATTTACTTATAATGCAGCATTCTGAAGGCAGACGACTGCCAACAACAGCAAAAGCAACAACAACAACAACAACAGCAACAACAACCGCCGACAACTGTCTGCCAAACTGTGGCACGGGATCTAGTCAACAAATTGGTCTGGTAAGGTGGGAGGGGTGTGTGCGAGTGTGTGGGGCTAGGAGAGACGCCTGCTGGCGCTGTTGGTCAGCGACAAGTGACCTCATTTTTATTGGAACCTCGCGGCAAGTTGCGTGGCCGCAGCCAGCAATACGTGCCTGTGGTTGTTGTTGCTTGTTCTACTTTGAAATTTCACTTTTCAAATGTGAATGTGAATGTGAATGTGTGTCTGTGTGTGTCTATAGAAGAAATAAATATAATTAATAAACTAAATAAAAGTGAGGCGAGCATTTTTGTGCGTGCGCCATTCAGCAAACAAAAATTTGGTTCGACCAAGATGCACTGCCAAGCAATGCAAGTTTGTTGCCTAAGTCTTTGGTATTGAAATGCAGCCACGAAATATGTCAAAAATATTAAGGCAGAGGGCAAACGAACAGCAATTACAACAACAAACAGCAGACAACAGAAACAACACTGAACAAAATTTAACCTCAAACTTCAAAGTGTCACTGTCATGGCCCTTTTTACTACACACAGCGACTTTGGCTGCGACTGCTGCTGCTGCTGCTGCGTTGCAGCGGCAACATCGTCGACCATCGTCGCTATATAACCTGTTGGCAATTCAGTTTATGACTTTTTGCGCCGCACACTGTGTCCAAGCAAACAAACTAAACCGGCTAGCGGCAGTTTATGGCAAGCTGAAGCTTTCACCGTGACTGCGGCCCACTGTGCACTGCTGCTGCGACGTCGACATCGCACGTATTGCCACGAAAAGTGGGTCAACATGAAACGAGCCAGAAATGTAGAAAAAAAACTGAAGAAAAAACAACAAAACACAGCACTAACAAAAGCAACAACAACTAAAGAGCAAATCACGCTGACGAGCTGGCTCAAGACTGGGTCTGCTTGTTGCTGCTGCTGCTGCGAAAGAAAGCATAAAAGCTGCTTGGTGTGAGAGAGATGGCAATAGATGCTGAGCAACTTGCGCTGTAAATTTATTTTTTTATTTTTGTTTGTGGGTTTGGCTTTTTGGAATTTATGTGACGGTTTCTTATCTAGCTGAAAATATATGGAATGCTGCCTTAACAATCAGTCACCAACTTATAATAAATACAATATTATAACGACACAACTATTCTGTCTAAAAAATATCTGAAAAAATTCGAATATAAATAAAAACAATTTAAATTCTTCATTTAAAGTGCGCCACAGTCAGAAAGCGCCACCTATTACTCATATTTCACATACACAATAGTGCTGGCTAACAGCGCAATGATATGTTTTTCACAGTGGTACCTTGCGATAATTTATCGACAAGCCGCCACAATCTGTCGCCGATAGTCTTGCTGGTCTGAAATTCTTTTTTGTTTATACTTGAAAAGCATTAGTTGCTTTGTAAAATTAAAATATGTTGAATGGGCAAATTACACACAGCTATGTGGGCAACACGTGCAGCGTGGTGATACCACATCCACATGTCAAGGAAAAAGCAAAGTCCACGCCATCACCTGATGAAGCAGAGGCCTGTTGTGAGAGAGGGGCTGAGGCATTGGTCGATTCGGGGGCGACGGCATCAGCGGAGGCAACGGGTGCTACGGTACATGTGAATTTGGATCGCATAAGGAACGTCGATATCTTCATTGGCGACAACGATTTGTATTTTTATGCCGATGTCAAGCTATACAAGTGAGTCATGCAACCCATAATTGAAGCAATCACAATTATCACAATCTTCTACGCAGATTCCACAGCCGTCGCACTTTCGACTTAAGGGGACTGAAAACGTTGGTCATCAAATATGACACGAATGAGAATTGCTACCAGCTGTGTCTGCGCTGCCTTCCGCCCGTTGCCATTCCAGGTAGTGGCCGCGCAGCTGGCAGCGCCGTGACGCCAAAACCAAAGACAGCGCGCAAGGAGTATATAGCCGCATTTCTTAACCTACCAACACTGGCAGACACCTTGCAGGACAAGGAACCGCTGGTGCACGAGTGGAAACTGAAGCGCATCACCGATCAGTGCCAATTACAGCTCGATGCCCACGAGCGTACCTATAAACTGACTAACAGTTTTCGCTATGGGTATGCTAGTGGCTACAGCGGTCCATTGCAGACAAGCGAGGTAAGTGCTGTATGATGTATGTTGAAGTATTATATAACTTGATCGTCAATTATGGCATTCCAGCTGGATAAGTCCACATGTCGTGTTCCTGAGCCAGAGCGACTCAGTCCCTTGCAACGACGTCTGGAACGCATTAGCGATGAGATGAAACGCTTTTCGCGCGACCAGTACAAAATGAACTTTGTGGAACTGCAGGTTCCAGCCGGACATCAGAATCCGTTACGCTTTAAGCCCAAAATCCATGAAACGTCCATGACACAGGAACAGGCGCACTTGCTGCATAATCTATGTAGCCGCACAGCCGCGACTAAAGACTCCACATCAACGGCCTCCTCGCAGTCCATAAACCAGCCCGAGCGGCGCGTACAGAACGAAATCGACTGCGGTCTAATCAGCATTGTGTTGGCTATATGCTATGATGTGCGCACCACCAACAACGAACCGACCTGTGAGTCGGGCTGGACGCGCAGCATATTGTGTCCATTGTTCTGCTACTTTGAGCAGTTCGACAACTATCGGGACGTTCTGATAGCGTTTTTGCGTCGTGTGATCACATATCCGTTGTATCGCAACTTCGAACTGGGTCGCCAGTGCATTAGGGATGCCATTGAAGTACTGAGGGGTGGTCGCAACTGGCTGATCAATCAGCTGTTGCTGACCCACCTGCAGTTCGCCAGCGGCGAGCCATGTCGCGATAGCTTCAACAACTACTATCTGGAGGACTATATACGATATGTGTGCAACGCGACAGCATGCAGCGATGAGCATCTGCGTCTATTGGCACGCAATGTCAAGAATGTGCTAATGGATGTGACCAAACGCCAATTGGATCTGGGTATCATTGAAATTGAGACTGAACTGATCCAGGAGCTAATGCAGGAGATGCGCATCGATGCTGGCAGTGGCAGCGAATCGCCGTCACAGCACCAGAGTAATATTGCTGATGATGATGTATTAGACACGGATGAAGCATCCGGGCTAGAGGATGATACAACGACCGACGATGATAGCGTAATTACTGACTCATTCGATAGCATGGATTTGCGTTTGATTGAGAACGATGTCTATGCCGTCGACGAGGAGAACGAGGGAGATGTCGATGATGGCGAAGAGGATCAATCAGAAGTTGAAGAGGAGGACCACGAAAGTAACTCATCAACCACCACCACCAGCGATGCTGAGGGCAACAGCGTCATCGAGCAGTGCACCAGCAACAGCGAAGCTGCCGCCAGCATCAGTGCCAGTGCCAGTGCTAGCACTAGCACCAAGTAGAAATTGCCAACGTTCGAGTTGTCAGTCCTGCCATGCCTAAACCAACCAATCAACCAACAAACTTAATGTCAAAGAACGGAGGCTAAACAGTGATTACTTTTATGCAAACCGAAATGTGAAAGTAAAATTAAAAAATTGAAAAACGAAATCAAAAACAAAAACAAAAGTAAAAACGAAAAACAAAAAAGGCAAATTGTAAATTTTAACGCAAACGAAAAACCTATTTAAATATTTATGTGTATGAGAATTTTAAAGCAAATACACACAAAGAATGGTTCATGCCACACGCAATCCAATATTTGCATATACATACATATACATACATATATACATTTTTGTTCTAATTTTGCTCTATCATAGTTCTTTCTTAAACATAAATCAAGAAACTTAGCATTTAGCGTGACATAAGCTTACGAAATTTGAATTTTGAATTCTTCAAACCAAAATCTAGTTGTGCATTTTGTATATACATACATAAATACATACATATATAAA